TTTTTATATTAGCTTTTTAGTAATAGGATTATTAGTTATTAGAATTAAAAAAACCTTATTAGTAGTAGTTAGTAGCTTTAGTATTAGTTGTTGTTTTTTATTATTTTTTATTACTTGATTTAGTCCGCTTCTCAAGAAACCACCCACACAAGTTTCTTTAGGCGTGGTGTAATTTTTCTTTTTTTATTAGTATTATGAATTCATGTATTAGTATTACGATTCATGTATTAGTAGATTTAGTATTAGTTACATTCAATTTGGATGCGGGATTAGTTTTATTTATTTATTAATAGTTTATTATTAAAAAAAATTGTTATACATGTAGGAATGTGTCTAGAGTTTTTCTCTTAATATAATAAATGCAAAGTTTAATTGAATTACTATTAGCTGTTTTCAATGTCGACAATGCATCTTTAATTCAAAATTTTATTGCCAACCATTTTCTTCTCAATTAATTGCGACATACAAAAATTGAATTGCGACTGATTGCAATTCCCGTTTTTATTACCTCACAAAATTTAATCATAGTCTTCTGTTTGGAATTCTAGCCTCCCTAGGTGGATTGCTTCAAAGATTGAATCGCTGTAAAATTGGTTTCTATACAAAGGATAATAGTTTGCTTTGCTATGAAATTGAGTTTGTGATAGCATAAACGATGTACGAAAATGGATTTTATTCCAACCTCAATTTTACTCATCATCAATCAATACCACTAATGTCAATAATAGTATTGTAATGTCTAGTTTTGTTCCTAACGGATCAAGTGAATAGGTTATATAATCTTCTATTCGAGACGATTATGACTTTGGGAGATTAAGTAAAGAATAATACAATTTTTTATATATAATTTTTTTTTTTTAGATTAATTCAAACTGATTAGAGAAGTCCTTTATATTGGGATTAAATTGAGTGTGCCGTGTAATTAGAAAATATAAAGAGAAACGAGGAAAAAATAGCTTTAGTCTGAAGTTTTTGATGGTTTGATTTTGAAGTCTTGTCTTGAGCTAATTAATCTACTACTAAAGTGGTGGTGGTGGTGGGAAAGAAATAGCAGTGTTGTTGTATTAGTTGTATATTAATAATAATTTTATATTCATTATAAATTCTGTTATTTTCAAGTTTACATACCGTAAAATTTTGGTCGTAATATAATTCATAAACAAATAATAATGAATACTTTACTAAGATCAAGAATGGTAGAGCAAAAACAAATTTCTTTGGTCTATGACGCCCCATAATAAAACTTTTTTCTTTAGATACGATTGAACAAAAACCTTTCCACGAATTCAAACTATGAAAACGGAACTTTCCAAAGCTATCAAAGGGGTATTATTTCCAATATTGAAGCCTGCTCCTCTAGGTTTCGAGTGTCAAGAATGCCTTTATAATAATATTTATCCATTCGTCAGAGATGAATTCAAATATATTACTTATCCAAAAACCAGATAATGCTGACAATTAACTTATGGTTTCATGTTAATACTATCATTTTATCAGTTATGATGATTTTCATTCTTCTTGGTAAACTTCATAGGTATATCTAAATTTTCTTGTAAGTTTGATATCATTCATCTTGGAAACACAAGGTGCATCTTGCTCTCTTTTTAAAATACTTCTGACATTACTGTAATTTTGAGTTCCACAGTGGATCTAATGCAAATGTAAATCAACTTCATATAATACAGTTCACTCTCTCTATGACAGACCATTTAGCTGATGAAAAAATGTCCATTGTAGAGAGAATCAGTAATGATTTATACGTGGGGCCATATAAATTCTCAGTCCGTTATTATTATAGGGAGAGTGAATTGTATACCATTTATATTATTTTTTAATTATTGTCAATATTTAGATATAAAAACAAATTATAAAAAATATTTACTATAGTGAATGAACCTTTTTAATATCACTATTAATAATTCTAGGATTAATAATTTTAACTGAATACCAAAACTAACCACTACAACTGTTGGAGTACT